ATCTCCACACAAAGTGACACATCTTGCTATGAATTTGAGCAATTCAGAAACATCACACCTTTGTGTTCTGTGAAGAGGTTTGCTAATTTACCCAAATATCTTTTTTCAATTAACAGATAATGTGGGCATAAAGACGACGGTTTATGCCATTGTTGCTGCAAAAAAGAACATGTCAATTCCGAACCCAGAGACCAGAGACGACTTTCTTAAGTGTGAGTGTTTATCGGGGTTATTATCGCTAATTAAGACTAAAGCCATTAAAAAGATGTTACACGACACATACTTCTGTTACTTGAAATAAAATAAGTGTCAAAAGAAAAATCACAGGGTAAAATATTAACTAATAGATATCACCATACTTCCCTAGTTAATTGATTGCATTTACATTTAAGCATTTAGCAGATGCTTTTATCCAAACTTACAAATGAGGATAATCAAATTTCAATCAAATCAGCAAAAGAGCAACAATGTAAGTGCTGTGATGCCTAACATTACGAATTCAAAAAAGAAAAAAAAATGCACTAATTTGCATACATTTCCAGAACATATATACTGTATAAGCACTGGTTAAAACCAGGTTCAAAATTTTTGTTGACATATTGGGATTTTGGAAATCTGTTTTTATAGAACTTTTTAAATACAGTCAACAGCCAGGAAAAAATACATTTTCACCGTGTTTCAAGAATAAAATGTGAATTATATATGAACAAACCCTTCTGTAAAAACCTTCAAAATATAGTGAGGAAGAAAACTTTTACATTTGGTGTATGTAAGTGCAGCTCAAAAAAATGCACTAATTTGCATACATTTCCAGAACATATATACTGTATAAGCACTGGTTAAAACCAGGTTCAAAATTTTTGTTGACATATTGGGATTTTGGAAATCTGTTTTTATAGAACTTTTTAAATACAGTCAACAGCCAGGAAAAAATACATTTTCACCGTGTTTCAAGAATAAAATGTGCAATTATAAATCGGGTGAATTATATATGAACAAACCCTTCTGTAAAAACCTTCAAAATATAGTGAGGAAAAAAACTTTTACATTTGGTGTATGTAAGTGCAGCTGAAGTGGAGAAAAAACTTTTAAAGATTTGTATTGTAATTGAAATATACAGATGCAAATAGATAAAGTGCAGTAATAAAATCAGGTGGAATGATATACTGTTTGAACAAACCCCTCAGTAAAAACCTTCAGAATATAGATAGAAATAAAGCCGTACGTTCTGGTGAATGTAAGTGCTACTGAAGTGGAGGAAAAAGTCATTTCGAGAAAACCGCCTTTAAAAATATGTATTGTAATTGAAATCTACAGACGTAAATACATAAAGTGCAATAATAAAATCAGGCAACGACATATGTACAAACCCCTCAGTAAAAACCTTCAGAATATAGACAGGAATAAATCTCCTAAGTTTAGTGTATGTAAGTGCTGCTGAAGTGGAGAAAAAACTTTTAAAGATTTGTATTGTAATTGAAATCTACAGACGCAAATAGATAAAGTGCAATAATAAAATCAGGTGGAAGGATATTCTGTATGAACAAACCCCTCAGTAAAATCCTTCAGAATATAGATTGGAATAAAACTGCTAAGTTTAGTGTATGCAAGTGCTGCTGAAGTGGGGAAAAAAATATTTTGAGGAAATGGCACTTAAAAAATGTATTGTAATTTAAATCTGCAAATGCAAATACTATAAGTGTAATAAAACAAACACTTAAATGTTGGAAGCTTTCTTTCCACTAGTCTGAAACAACACATTATATAGCCCACAATCTCAAATTTAGTGCAGCTATTGCCTTAAAATTAAAAAATATGGAAAATATAAACATAAAAAGTAAAATAGTACATTAAGATATTGAAATAACAGTGATGCTCACTACAGAAACATAGTCAAACTTCCCAGATGTAACAGTTCTTCTCAGCTGGTTTTGCTTCACATTACTATATTATTGACTTTTTGCCCATTTTCTCCAATAGACGTCACGCCTCTGACCTTTGATGCAGATACGGCCCACCAGTATCTGCGTCTGACAGAAGAACGAAAGAAGGTGACAAACACGACGCCGTGGCAGCAGAGCTATCCAGAGCTCCCCGAGCGCTTCGAGCACTTCAAGCAGGTGCTGACGGTCGAGAGCTTCTACCTGGGCCGCCACTATTTCGAGGTGGATATGAGAGGAGAAGGCACTCACGTCGGCCTGACCTACAAGAGCATCGACCGCAAGGGATCCGAGAGCAACAGCTGCATCACGGGAAACAACTTCTCCTGGTGTGTGCAGTGGAACGGACGCAGCTTCTCCGCGTGGCACAGCGATGTGGAGACGCCGCTCAGCGGCCCCAAAGCCACACGGATCGGCGTCTACGTGGATTATTCCGGCAGCGTGCTGGCTTTCTACGACGTGGAGAACGGCATGGCGCTCATCCACAAGTACCAGGCTGAGTTTCTGGAGCCGCTTTACCCAGCCTTCTGGCTTCCCAAGAAGGAGTGCGTCGTGCTTTTAGAACCAGGAGCAGGATCTTCCCTGACAACCCCGTCTCCTGTTTCCTCTCCCAAATAAACTGTTTCTGCTCCTCTTATCCACATCATTTCCATCTTATAGGGTCCCGTTTACACCTGGTTTTGTTCACCTTACACAGATACAGATGCAATGGTGTAAACAGGACTATAAGAGATCTACTGTAACCTCTGACTGATATTAAAGTTTTATGACTGCAACAGTGCATTTATACAAGATGCCTATTAAAATATCTAGAAACATGTTTTGTGCATTGATCACAAAATATGTCTTTAAGTATAATTTTTTTCACATGAATGAAACTATATATATTTATATACATATATATACATTATATATTGTGATGATATATAAATATAAAATAGTTTGTATTTTATATACAGTATATATATATATATCAAATGAATAAAAGTAAATATGTTTTATTTTATTCTTATATTTATATATTTTTAAGTATAATTTTTCTCACATGAATGTAACTATATATATATATGTGTGTGTGTGTGTGTGTGTGTGTGTGTGTGTGTGTGTGTGTGTGTGTGTGTGTGTGTGTGTGTGTATATATACATACATACACATAAATATAAATTTATATATATATAAATATTTGTGTATACATAAATATAAAAATAAATGTAAGTTTTATTTTATTCTTATATATATTATGTATATGTGGGTTTTATTTAACATTGTTTCATTCATGTTAAAATATGTAAGACGAACATTTCTCATCTATCAATAATGTTGCACAAGTGACCAAACCCATTTGACGTAGTTGGATATTACGGTACATTTCACTAGGGTTGGGTTAACAGGACAGATGTGGCTCTTTAATAACTCTGTACACTGTCTATATGCTGCTGTTTTCCCTTATTTGTTACATTTTGTGCCTAGTATCAAATGTGACAGGTGACAGTTACCTTGGCAACAATAAAACATTGTCTGTGCAAATAAAAAATTGCTACAGTGAAATGCTGATATTTGTCCACGTGTTTCGTTGCAGTGTGACATAACCGGTTGCACCAGTCTACAGACATAATGTCACAACGCCTTAAAGGGGCGGATAATACATAACTACATAACTAATTACATAACTGCTATTAATTCTTCCTAAGTTCCTAATCACAATGACCCAGTGTTTAATCACAATAATCACAATGACCCAGTGTTTAATCACAATAATCACAATGACCCAGTGTTTAATCACAATAATCACAATGACCCAGTGTTTAATCACAATAATCACAATGACCCAGTGTTTAATCACAATAATCACAATGACCCAGTGTTTAATCACAATTATCACAATGACCCAGTGTTTAATCACAATAATCACAATGACCCAGTGTTTAATCACAATAATCACAATGACCCAGTGTTTAATCACAATAATCACAATGACCCAGTGTTTAATCACAATAATCACAATGACCCAGTGTTTAATCACAATAATCACAATGACCCAGTGTTTAATCACAATAATCACAATGACCCAGTGTTTAATCACAATAATCACAATGACCCAGACTGAATATATATAAGGATAATATAATAATAAAATGATTAAATATTAGACATAGAGATAGAGAGCACATTAAATAAATGTACAGTGTAAAATGTAGAATTAGTATTAATAATAATTTCATTTATTTCATAACTTTTATTTTTATTTATAATATTATATATGATTATATCTATTATACCGATAGACAAATACGCTATATACAAAAAAAGTGTATTGTTAAATAATATACATTTTGAATTGGATATCGCACATGATAAAAATATTATTTACTAACTGTTTAAGAAATAATATGCCTTATATTATAATTTTTTTTTATCTCTCTTTTTCTGTTATAAAAAAATTAAAAATACAAATAGTTTTCTGTTCAGGCGCGATGTGGTCAGTCCTCGCGTTCCCGGAAGTGACGTGTCGGGCAACACCAGCAGCAGCAGCAGTCGAAATGAAGCTGGTGAGTAAAAATACGCTATTTTTTATTATTATAAATTCTTCTCAAACGACCCAGTGTTTAATCACAATAATCACAATGACCCAGTGTTTAATCACAATAATCACAATGACCCAGTGTTTAATCACAATAATCACAATGACTGAATATATATAAGGATAATATAATAATAAAATGATTAAATATTAGAAATAGAGATAGAGAGCACATTAAATAAATGTACAGTGTAAAATGTAGAATTAGTATTAATAATAATTTTATTTATTTCATAACTTTTATTTTTATTTATAATATTATATATGATTATATATATTATATCGATAGACAAATACGCTATATACAAAAAAAGTGTATTGTTAAATAATATACATTTTGAATTGGATATCGCACATGATAAAAATATTATTTACTAACTGTTTAAGAAATAATATTCCTTATATTATAATTTTTTTTTATCTCTCTTTTTCTGTCATAAAAAAATTAAAAATACAAATAGTTTTCTGTTCAGGCGCGATGTGGTCAGTCCTCGCGTTCCCGGAAGTGACGTGTCGGGCAACACCAGCAGCAGCAGCAGTCGAAATGAAGCTGGTGAGTAAAAATACGCTATTTTTTATTATTATAAATTCTTCTCAAATGTTGTAGACATAGTGTATGTGTACAGCATGCGTGTGTTCCTCTGATATGACTTTGAAGATAAGGAAGAAAGCGGGGTTAGCTTAGCCAGTCCTGTGGCAGTAAACAGCTCGCTGCAGCAGGTGGAGTTTTGCTCGGTCTGTGTTTAATGAAATGTTGAATCAGTCGTGTTTCTGAGCCTGACAGCTGTCGTCTTGTCTCGCTTCCAGGACTCAATCGATGATGAGGATGTGGCTTTATTTGATGCTGAGGAAGATTCAGCCGCAAGAAAGAACAAGATCAGGTGTGTTTGTTGTCCTCGTTAATTAGCTGTGTTTAGATCATCAGCATCATGTGTTTCTCTCAGTTGGGGACGTCCTCGTTTGAAGAAGGAAAAAAAACTAAAACAAAGAATTGTTAGTAATTAAAATAATATTAGTTATTAATACTATATTATTTGAATACATTATAATAAATGAGTAAATGCATTATTGATATTTTAAAAGTATGTAGGGCAGGCCTTTTAGTACGATTTTATTAAATTAAAATATCTTAATATTATTATAACAGCACTACACTTTTTAACAATGAAATATTTAAATGCATTATTGTTGTTAATTACATTTCTTAATAAAAATGTAATGTGTTTAGGGTTAGTTTATAGTAATTATAATATTGTGACAATTATTTATACCTTTTTAATTAGTAAAAATATTGTATTATATTTTAATAAATCATTATGAATAATTACAAGTATTATTATAATTTAAATACATTTTTGTTATTAATTAATTCAATGTATTATTAATCAATTATTTTTCATTCTAAAAATGCAGTGTGTTTAGGGCTCTGGGTTTTGTTTATAGTTATTATTGCAAATGAGGTGTGTGTGGTAGGTCTTCATTTAGCTAAATAAACGAGTGTGTGATTCCAGGCATCCGGTGGCTTCGTTCTTCCATCTGTTCTTCCGGGTCACTGCCATCCTGGTCTACCTGCTGTGTGGCTCAGTCGGTGGATCCTTCATCGCCTGTATGGTCACCATCATCCTCCTCCTGTCATGTGACTTCTGGACTGTGAAGGTTTGTGTTTAGAATAACTGAGCAGGTGTTCGTAAATCATTACAGTTACTGGAGTTAGTGGAAGTTAAGTCGTTAACTCGTGTTTAAAGATCCAAACAAACCTCTAACCCTTCATATTAAACCTCAGCATGTAACCTGTCCTGTTTGTCTTGCTGTAGAATATAACCGGCCGTCTGATGGTGGGTTTGCGCTGGTGGAATCAAGTGGATGATGATGGAAAAAACCATTGGGTGTTTGAGTCCAGAAAGGTACTATTACACACACACACACACACACAGTCTTCAGTAGAGTGGCATTAAAATATTTAAAATGTGTGTAGTTATTCACAGAAAAACATGATTGCTCACAAAGGCTGCATTTATTTAATTAACCCTTGTGCGTCAATTAAAAAAAGATACACATAGGTCCATAGTGGACAAAAATGTCCATGTCATAAAAATGTGAAGCTTGGGAGCACAGAGTTAAGTTTGGTCTCATTTTAAAGAAATTATTGTTGAAGTAAAAAAAAGAATTAAAAAGTGAAACCAAAAAAAAAAGTTGTTGAGGTTTATGAAAATGATTTATGAACAATGTTTTATATAAAATATATATTTTATGAAACATGTTGAACTCTATACCTGCTAGAAAATCAAAGCCATAAATCGAAACAAGTTGTGTTCCAAATTTGAGGTTGATATCTCAAAAAATGAGCTTTCGGTAAGATGTTGTTTGGGCGCAGTACCAAATTTTCCCCAGTAGATGCCTGCAGAACTCTGCTGGTGCACACAGTGGTTGGATTTGTGATTTGCAGTAGAGTTTTTCTCTCTCAAATATTACAAGAACACACACATGCACACACACATGCAAACCACACTCTGACATCCACACCAACACACCCACACAATTATAGCTGCATTATTTATCCAATTGGCTCTATAATATGCAGAAGCAGAAAACAGAAATAAAGCGAGAATTTGCTTTATAGTTACAAGAACACACACATGCACACACACATGCAAACCACACTCTGACATCCACACCAACACACCCACACAATTATAGCTGCATTATTTATCCAATTGGCTCTATAATATGCAGAAGCAGAAAACAGAAATAAAGCGAGTATTTGCTTTATAGGTCAAACCTGTAAAAAAGGCACCATCTGGTAAAAAATTTAATTTTAAAGCCATGCCAATATAATGAAAGCCTACCAACAAAAATTGCATAATTTTACAGTTAAATGGCACTGCGATTAAAAATAGCAGGTTTCAATGGGGACATTTTTGTCCTTAAGGTCCTGAGAGGAACAATTTTTTGTGCCTAGTGCAAAACAGATTTATTAAAGGAAATGGAAGTGAAATAGTAAAATTCCAATAAAAATACACACCTGTGCCCAACTTTATGCAGTTGGCAATAACACAGGCAAAATGATTAAAAAAAAAAACAAAAAAACTGAAAAGGACAAAAATGTCCAAAAGGTCGCACAAGGGTTAAACAAAAATAGTAATGTTGTATAATATTATTACAATTTAAAATAAATGTTTTCTTAGTGAATATATTGTGTAATGTCATTTATTCCTCTGATATAAAGCTGAATCATTAATCAGCATCATTACTGCAGTCTTCAGTGTCGCATGATCTTCAGAAATCAGTATAATATGCTGATTTGCTGCTCAAGAAACATTTCTGATTATTAAAGCTGAAAGAGATCCGCACTCGTCCAGATTCAGCCAAAGAGGCTTGTTTCATTTAATGCTCAGAGGTCACAAAAATATGTGCAAATGTGCAGAATGTTCCTCAGTGCCATGTGTTACCAAGCAATTAAAGAACAGCATTTATTTGAAATAGAAAACTTGTGGATATTATAAATGTCTTTCCTGTCACTTTTGATCAATTTAATGCGTCCTTGATGAATAATTCTATTAAAAACAGCAATCTTTTGAACGCTCGTGCATGTATGTGACACATACAGTAAATGTGAATTAGCATTTCTGGTTAAATGTGTGAATATTGTCTCCATTTGTTGTGTCACTCTGACGTCCTGTCTATATGTGCTCGCAGGCCGGTGCGAATCAGTCTTCAGCATCCCGCTCCTCAAACGCAGAGTCTCGTATCTTCTGGCTGGGTCTGATCATCTGTCCCGTCGTCTGGGTCATCTTTGCTTTCTTTACGCTCGTCTCCTTTAAGATCAAATGGCTGGTGAGTTCTGAGCAGTTCTTCAGCGGTCTGTGTCTCATCTTCCAGGGATGTTGTTCTGTGAGTGATACTGTCGTCTCTCTCAGGCCGTGGTGATTTTGGGAATGGTGTTACAGGGAGCCAATCTCTACGGATATGTGCGCTGTAAAGTAGGAGCCCGAACAAACCTGAAGAACATGGCCACTAATTACTTTGGACGGCAGTTTCTAAAACAGGTGTGTTATTGTAATTCACGAACATCTTCTTAATAGTATCCTAATTTCATTTTTATTGTCTGATGGTACAGTATGTAACTCCATTTGATTGTCTTTTAGGCTTTCACAAAACAAGAGGAGTCTTAGGAAGGAGCGTCTGACCTGAGTTCTCACTATTTCCATTGATGAGCTTTTAATGTTATATATTTTTAAGACCGGTTAAAATGAAGGGCAGTGGTTGCTTTAGAAATGGTTACTGATTTGTGGGATTTTTATTATAATTTTTTTTTGTCAACCACAACCTGTTAAATAATGTGTTTGACATTTAAAATACCTTTAACTTCTTTATAGTTTTTGTTTGATCTCTAACTAATTGAAAGTGTTTAGAGTATGTTTTGTTATATAACGACATGCATTATGCTTCTGTTTTGCAGATGTACATATTTATATACTGCTGTACATTACTGTATACTTTCTGTAGTTAATTGTATGAAGATTGATTGATTGCTTGATCAGTAAATTTAAGAAATAAAAGTTTTGGGTACAACTGGAGCCACCCTGAGTCTCCGGCCAGTGAAGTCACCCACAAACACCACATCATTTAAACCATTAGAAATTACACTTCACTTTCAATTTTAGATCAGTTTCTTCTTCTTAATTTTTGTCATTTTTTGTATGACATGTTAATGTCCCCTATAAATATTAATATCATTATTCTCACATAAATTGTAAGTTATCTGCATCGTTATCTCTCTGAATTGTTATGTTGAATTTGTGGTTAATATAGTTTTGTCCAATTATTTTATATATAAGGAAGTATTTAAGGTGATCTTTAAATCCCAAAATCTTATGCATTACAAAAAAAGCAGGTGGAAGTTAAAAAATAAATGTTTTTGGAGGTTCATTTTGATGATTAACCCACTTTGGTAAGATTGTTCTGTTTGTCGTAATTATTCATTTATATATATATATATATATTAGTGCTGTCAAATTATTAATCTCATCTAAAATAAAAGTTTTTGTTTACATAATATATGTGTGTGTCCTGTGTATATTTATTATGTGTATATATAAATACACACATACAGTATATATATATATATATAGGAAATACTTACACGCATTTACATTTATATATTTATATTCTTATATATTATATTATATATTAATATATAAAAATAACATATTTTTCTTAAATATATACATGCATGTGTGTGTGTATCTATATATACATAATACATATACGCAACACATGTAAACAAAAACTTTTATTTTGGATGCGATTAATCGTTTGACAGCACTAATATGTATATATATATATATTGATTTATTTTGGCTGATATTTGGATTTGGACTTGGATTTTGGACTCAAAACACAAATAAACAAAAAATAACAATAAAAAACCAAACAAAAATAAAAACAGGAGGACTTTTATTTTGTACATGCGATTCACTTCACTGCCATTTTCCGTTTGCGTTGTATAGTTTCCGCTGTCTTCACGTTAAATGTTGTAATATTATTGTGTATTCTGCATCCAGCTGTCGTTTCGGTCTCATTTCTGCCCGTCAGG